CCCCCGGGCCCCGGGAGGCCCTGGGCCGGCTGCGGGAGCTGTGCTGGCGGTGGCTGCGGCCCGCGGTGCTCACCAAGAGGCAGATCCTGGAGCTGCTGGTGCTGGAGCAGTTCCTGGCCGTCCTGCCCGCGGAGCTGCGGGCCTGGCTGCGCGCGCGCGGCCCCGAGAGCGGGGAGGAGGCCGTGACGATGCTGGAGGAGCTGGAGAAGGAGCTCGACGGGCCCGCAGAGCAGGTGAGAAGGGGTCGGGGACCCGGCTGGGTCAGGGGCTCCATTCAGCCGGTTGTGTAGCGGTGAGTGCAACCCCAGCTGTGCCAGGAAACAGGGCGTGGCCCTGCTTTTTCCCTCCCTTTCCCTGTGGCCCGGGGTCTCTCTCACTTTATCCCAAGGTCCTGCCTCAGCCTCAGATAATCTGTTTCCAGGTTTGGGGACAAAATGCAGAGGACGTGGCAGCGCAGGAAATCACTCAGGAGTTGCCAAGTGGCCCGCCCCAGCCTGCGATGCCCCAGCCTGCGATGCCCCAGCTGACGTGCCCATCGCTGGAACGCCACTCCTCCAGGCCACGCGGTGAGGGCGGGACCAGTTCCTGGTGTGGGCACAGGGGGCCCAGCCACGGTGAGGGCGGGGCCAGCTCCTGGTGTGGGCACAGGCGGCCCAGCCACGCTGAGCACGGGACCAGCTCCTGGTGTGGGCACAGGGGCCCAGCTACGCTGAGGGCGGGACCAGCTCCTGGTGTGGGCACAGGTGGCCCAGTCCCCAGCCGCACGGAGGTCTCCAGCCTCCCCGTCTCCTGCCCCCCTGCACCCCCCATTGTGGGAATTTCTCCCTCTGCTTTCTACCTCTATATGTCCTGTTGATGGACATTCTCATAGCTTGTTCTCATAGATTTAAATCTGCAGATTTTAAAAATTCTTGGCATCATCGCCATCAGGATTGTCAAACCTTTTTCATCCGGCATGATCGTTTTTTCAAATGAACTTTTCGAGGAGTTCCAGCCTTTAAAACAGATGAAAGCACAGCTGCTCTGACCGAAGCAGGAGCAAGCAGTCTCGGCCCTGGAGGGCGCCCACGTGGCCTCGTCCCACCCCTTTACTGCCAGAGGGCCCTTGGTCTGTGTCCTGCTCAGTGCGACCTCTTGGTGGGTCACTGAGAGGATCCCGTATGGACCTGGCCATGTCGCTGCGGCCGTGATGTTGCTCTCACGGGCTTTGAATGTGTGTCTCTGCTCCTTCCCGTTCTTTCTGTTGGTGGTTGGTTTTCTCCTTCTCCTTCTAAACTGGCCTTCGCGTCACTTTTTATGGAGATGCTTCGGAATGGCCGGCACGGCAGTCTGCTCTTCCATTGCAGATACTAAAAAATAAGTGCTATAGGGAGGGACCCCCAGTTTCTCCTCTCCCCCTCTGTCACCCTCGCTTCTTTAAATTTTAGGAGTGGCTGGCCAGCTAAGGAAGGTTAGGTTTTTTTCCCCAGGGAATTTTGATTAGAAACTATAGAAAAAACAATATATAAAAATTTAGAGGGACACTTTTAGAAGATTCCTCACTCTTGTTTGACAAGATCTACTTCCAAGAGGTTTGGAAGTAGAAACTTGTCAAATTGCCTACGGCGCACTTGGCCTCTGCAGTGTAGCGATCGCTGGGCTTACCTAGAAGGGGAAGTGTTCACAGGACACGGGGATGGGGCGGGAAACCATCCCAGCCTCCGCGGCTTGGTGTGCTGGTAACTAATGAAGCGATCAGCCACGAAGCCAGGTCCTGGGCTCCTGTTGTTGGCAAGAACCGTGTTCCAGTTGTGACTGTCCTCACAGAGGCCTCTCCTACATTTTTTTTTCTCCTACACTTTTTAAAAAATATATTTTATTGATTTTTCACAGAGAGGAAAGGAGAGAGATAGAGAGCCAGAAACATCGATGAGAGAGAA